CAGGAGCTCTGTGGCTAGGGGTGGGAGACTTCATGTCCACTTCTGCTCTCCGAGCTGGGAGTTGGTCTGACTTGGGCTTGCACAGGTCTTGAACACGCTGTCACAGTGCTGAAAGTTCTTATGTGCAGCTGCCCTGTTGAAACTCACAACCCCCCCAACACACACATACACGCGCGCACACACACACCACACCACACACAAATACACACACATACACACTCACACACCACACACACGCACATACCACACACACACATACACCACACACACACACACTCACATACCACAGACAGACACACACATACCACACACACATACACACACATACACCACACACACACATACACACTCACACACACACACACACACAGCTTAGTACAAGTTATCTCCTAGTCTGTGGCTAAGTCAGGTACTTCATCCATTTACAAATACTGCTTTCACGTTTCATGGTTGCGTCCTTAACTAAAATGTTTTTCATGTTTTTGATGGGTTGAATTTCATTCACAGATTTCCCCATCTCTCCCAAACCGTCAGAAGGGCCTAACAATGATCTGCCCAGTGTTCCTCCTTAGGAGATTATAAAAGAAAAACAAAGGCCTTCCCCTAATTACTTCGTGCTTGTTTCTGCCCCTGTAAATCGCCTCATCTCAGAGACTGAGTCACCTGGGATGGGTTTCGTTCACAAGACACAGCAACACCTGTGAAGAGGCAGCCACCTGCCAGTTAAAGACCACATGTGCCTGGAAAACAGACTGGCTCCAGGAGCCTCACTCCCCCAAGTGTTCTTCACAGTGTTATCAGGGGGATTGCGGAGAGAGCAGACACGGAAAACTCTCGCTTACCAGTGAGGTGCTGTGCAGACGTGAGTTGTTAGAGCCAGGTGGTGTGTGCCAGGGAGATTACCTTTTGCCAGGGGGTAATCATTTCAGTTTATAGAACACTTTTCACTCCGGGAGCCCCAAGCCCTTGCGAGTATTACCCTAAGAAACAGCACTTGAAATGAGACGCACATAAACAAACAGAGTCTAACAAACGGAGGTACCAATTACCACAACGATGACAGTCTTAAATGAGAACATCAACATTTTGACATATCAGCTCTGGAGGATGCTGCCTCTGTGGTCCCAACATCTTTGGGGGGGGGGGAATCAGTTCTCCATGTTAATGTTTTCCCATCAGCGTCGACTGTTTGGCTGAGCTGCGAAGAGAGAAACAGAAATAGAAAAACATCTTAAAATACACATTTTATTTCCCGGTAGCAGAACATCAGGAAACTCAACTGTAACTCTTTCCAGAGTGTCTCTCTCTGTCTCTGTCTCTGTCTCTCTCTGTGTGTCTCTCTCAGTGTGTCTCTCTCTGTCTCTGTCTCTCTCTGTGTGTCTCTCTCTGTCTCTGTCTCTCTCTGTCTCTGTCTCTGTGTGTCTCTGTCTCTCTCTGTCTCTCTCTCTCTTTCTCTCTCTGTCTCTCTCTCTCTGTCTCTCTCTCTCTCTCTGTTTTCCAGTGGTAGAGACAGAGAGAAGAAATGTTGTCATTATTGCAATGATCAAACAGAGAGACAAAGAAGCCAAGGTAAGTAAGACACCAATTACAGCACTGCTGGGCTGTGCGAATTGGGCTCAGTTCAAACAACGGTGTAAATGGATTTGAGGTTGGGGCGGGGGGCGGGTTGGGGGGGGAGCTGGGAAGAGAGAGCTGCCAAAATACAAGACCGGGAGGCTTAGCGAAATTGCCCCTGGCGCTCTGGAAGCGGTTTAATCCGGCAGAGCCCTGAACATTCCCGTGCAGCCGCCCCATTGTGTGCGCTCCCTTGCAGATCTGGCTTCTGGCTCTCTCTCTCTCTTTGTTTGGGTAGCTAGGCATGAAAAAGAATCATCTGCAACCAGAGCCCACTTCATTCTCAGTTCCTCTCTGGAAACGGCTGTTGGCATGGTGAAGTGCGCTGCGAAAAGGCGACGCGTTTGACTGATCACAAAGTGGAATTTCAGACCCTCCGTCGGGAGCCTGTGTGGACAAAGCCAAACTGATTCTCAGAAGGTGACCGAAAGAGTCCCGCTCTTCTGAAGTAATTTGCGTCGCCCCAGCATCACAGTATTCTTGCCAGTGACAAACTGGAGCCCCCGACAGTTTGTCTTCTCTGTCTTGGCAAAGGCAATGATGGTTGGGTTGCTTCTCACTTGTAAAGAAGCGCTGGTCACTCTCCTCTGTCACTCCGCCGGCTCACTTTACTGACTGAACCAGCTGGAATGCCATGAAGATCCAGGGAAATTCGGCAGAGGAGGCTTAAAGATTTGGGATCGTTTTATTCACACTCCAGCACTTAAATCGGAGCCTGGTACTCACTGGCTAAACAATGTGGGGAAAGACTGAAAATATAAATTTAGATAGATATTCATTCTTCCTCTTTCAATTCTTCCTGGGTGTAGCGAGCTGCGTGGAGTCACACCTGATGGAGATGTATAATCAACTCCTGAGATGGCTAAGGCCTGACCTATGCTATGATCACGCAATGATTATCAGCTGCCTGCATATGCGTGAACCTATGGGCAGTGCCCACCTGGCAGTTCGGGGTTGGCAGCCCATGCCTACTTAAGGGCTGGGAGAGGTTTGCCCAAAAAAGAGAGGAGAGAGAGAGAAAGAGAAGGAGAAGGAGATAAATTGCTGTGAATAAAGTGCTGAAAACTGCTGCAAGAAGAGCTCCGGGTGTTGTGTTTTTCCTTGCTGGTCGAGGGTGGACACAACACCTGGGCACCCTCATTTTCATGTCCGCCCCCCCCCCACGCACCCTGAGTCAGGAAAGACACTGTATGATAATATAGTTGCTCCCCACCCTCCCCATCCCCCACCCCGACAGTGTTTCTCTGTGTAGCTTTGGAGCCTGTCCTGGAGCTCACTCTGCAAAACCAGGCTGGCCTCGAACTCACAGAGATTCAACTGTCTCTGCCTCCCTGAGTGCTTGGATTAAAGGTAATGATTAGTTGAAATTTTTTAACTCAAGTTTTTTTTTTGTTTTTATTGAGCTATATGTATTTTTTCCGCTCCCCTCCCTTCTGCCTCCCTCTGCTTCTACCCTTTCCCATGATCCCATGCTCCCAATTTACTCAGGAGATCTTGTCTTTTTCTGCTTCCTATGTAGATTAGATCCATGTATGTCTTTCTTAGGATCCTCATTGTTGTCTGGGTTCTCTAGGATTGTGATCTGTAGGCTGGTTTCCTTTGCTTTATGTTTAAAAACCACTTATGAGTGAGTACATGTGATAATTGTCTTTCTGGGTCTGGGTTACCTCACTCATTATGATCTTTTCTAGATCCATCCATTTGCCTGCAAATTTCAAGATGCCATTTTTTCTGCTGTGTAGTACTCATTATGTAAATGCACCACATTTTCCTTATCCATTTTTTTTAAAGATTTATTTATTTTGAGTGTTCTGTCTGCATGTACGTCTGCAGGCCAGAAGAGGGCACCAGATTTCATTACAGATGGTTGTGAGCCACCATGTGGTTGCTGGGAATTGAACTCCGGACCTCTGGAAGAACAATCAGTGCTCTCAATCTCTGAGCCATCTCTCAAGCCCCTCCCCTTATCCATTCTTCAGCCTAGAACATTTAGGTTGTTTGTATGTTCTAGCTATAACAAATAATGCTGCTATGAACATAGTTGAGCATATGTCCTTGTGGTATGATTGAGCGTCCTTTGGCTATATACTCAAAAGCGGTATTGCTGGATCTTGTAACTCAAGTTTTTTTTAAGTCACCATACAGTGATGGTCTCATGATGAAACCTTCACACATAGATGTCATTATATTTTGTTCTTATTTCTTTCTTGACTGCCCTCCCATCTCCTCTGCTGGGCTCTTATTGGTTCCCTTTCTTCTCCCAAACACCACCCATTCCTCCCAACTCTTGGGCTTCCATGTCACATGTACTCTGGAACCTTCTCTTCACCCCTTAAAATCTTCTCCTTCCCCATCTTAGTCACCATTTTTTTTGTTGTTTGTTTGTTTTTGTTTTTGAGACAGTTTGCCCTACAGTCCTGGAACTCACTCTGTAGAACAAGTTGGCCTTGATCTCAGAGATCAGCCTGCCTCTGCCTCCCTGGTGCTTGAATTAAAGGCATGCGCCACCTCTGCCCAGTCCTAACACACACACATACAAACTTAAACATCACATTTCTGCACATGAGAAAAAAAAACATGATTTTTTGAGATCATGCAAATACCATGATTTCATTCTTCTTTATTGCTAAAAAAAATACATTGTAAATATGGACATTTTCTTTATTTTTAATTTAATTTTTTAATTTCTTGGAGGAATATATTTTTATTTTATTTTTCATCATGTATATGTATGCGTATGTATATACATCATGTATGTGCATGTATGAGGAGGCCAGAAGAGGGAGTCAGATTCCCTGGAGCTGAAGTTGTTGGTTGTGCTGATGTGGGTGCTATGAACTGCTCTCTGAGCTTCAGCAAGAGCAGCAAGCTCTCTTTACTGCTAAACCATCTCTGCAACCCCAAGTGTATATTAAGGGTAATTCCCCCTTCCCACCTCATTCCCCTTGCCTCCTTTCTGTTCCTCTAGACAATTTCAGTTTTGCATTAATAGATACACATATGGTTTTGTGTAACTAAGATCTAGGAGCCACAAATGAGACAAAACATCCAACATTTGTCTTTCTGAGACTGGCTTAATTGGCTTAATATGATTGCCTGCAAGTATATCCATTTGCTAGCAAGCAACAAAATTCTATCGCGTGCATTTATATGTACCACATTTTCTTTAGCCATTCCTGCTTTTGGACACCTAGTTGGTTCCATAACTTAGCTATTTGAGTTGCTGCAAATACTTGCACATGAATGTGCAAATATCTCAGCGATACAGTCCATCAGTGGCGTCCCCCAGGAGTAGTGCAGTGGGGTCAGATGGTAGATAATGCTTTAAGTTTTAATTTTTTTTTTTTTTTGAGAACCTTGCCTAGGAATTTCCACAGAAGCTGGATGGGTTTATATTCCCAGCAGCGGAGTGTAATGGTTCCCTTCTATCCACATCGATACCAGCACCTGGTGTTGCTTCTTTCTTCTCGGTACATGTGCTGCCAAAGCAGCATGGATTTTGTTTAGTTACTTTTGATTATGTGTGTGTGTGTGTCAGGGAGTGGAGGTGGAGCTGGAGTTAGGGCAGTTGTGAGCAGCCTGGCATGGCTGCCGGAACGGAAGCTGGGTCATGCAAGAACAATAGGTACTCCGCCACACCAGGGCATCTCTCCAGCCCCAGCTGATTCTTCCCTTAACGACTGGACTACATTCTGACTGTAGGAAGATCAAATACCAATTTTAAAATATTTATTTTTGTTTCGTTTGCAGGAGTGTCTTGCCTCTATGTGTGAAAACACACTATGCACGTACCTGCTCCCTGCATGGACAGGAAGAGGACATTGGATCCTCTGGTATTCGAGTTAAAGACACTTTCAAGTCACCATGTAGATGCGGGGAACCTAAGCCAAGTCCTCAGCGAGAGCAGTAAGTGCTCTTAACCTCTGAGCCATCTCTCCAGCCCTTCAGTAGCATTTTGATTTGTATTTCTTTGACGGCTGGTGAGGATGAACAATTGTTAATACATTTATTGGCCATTTGTGCTTCTTCTTCTTCTTCTTCCTTTTTATTTTAGTTTTTCAAGACAGGGTTTCTCTGTGGCTTTGGAGCCTGTCCTGGAACTAGCTCTGTAGACCAGGCTGGTCTAGAACTCACAGAGATCCGCCTGCCTCTGCCTTCCAAGTGCTGGGATTAAAGGCGTGTGCCACCATCGCCTGGCTTGTGTTTCTTCTTTTGTGAATTGCCTGTTCGTTAACCCATTTGTTGATTAGGTTGTTTGAATTTTTGTTGTTCATAATTTGGGGTTTTTAAAATTTTATACACACACACACACACATATATATAGTTTTGTGTATTCTAGATATTAAACCTCTATCAAAAGTTTACTTGACGACCCAAAGAGGCCAAAGGTCAGAGAGCTTTTGTGCTTCTAACTCAAACAAAGATCCCACCTATATGTAAATCAGACTTCTGCTTTCTCAAGACTATCATCAACAGGTGTGGTTTGTTGCCAGACCTTGTGCTCCTGAAATAGGGAAGTAGTTGGTTCCTACCTAAAACAAAAGCCTAAGGATCCAACTAAGTTCTAGTTCCCTTTAAGGAAATAACTTGGGATTCCACCCAGGGAGTGGTTTGCCTGCAAAGTGTTTGGTCTAGGGCAGGAGTCAAGGGCATGAGCTACATCTGTACCCCATGACTTTCAATTTGTATGTTTTTTTAAAGATTTATTTATTATGTATACAACATTCCTTCCATTCCTTCCATGTATG